GGGGGGGGGGGGGGGGGGGGGGGGGGGGGGGGGTGCCAACGGGATGGTGTCATCTCGATACAAGGGGTTCGAATAGAGGATGCAACACGCGCAAGGAAAACGCGAAGCAATGAGCACGACGAAATTTGCCACATTAGGCGGCTGAAGAGGACGTCCGGCAAAACGACAGGATGCTGTAGAGTGACAAAATCGATGCCTGTGGGGGGATGTATCGACCAAAAATTAGACGAGGCCAACGGCGAGGGGGGTGCATGAACCAAACAAACAATAGGGAAACAAACAGAGATGGAACACGCGACCACGCAAGCGCGAAACTGGTAGGTTTCCTAATACAGAGAAAGAGACGAGATATAACGAAACACGACTATGAAAAAACTCAAAACCACGGGAAACGACGCCACACGCGTCAATCTCACCGAAATCCTTGCAGTGGGTCCTCCAAGGGCTTCTTCACCAACAACAAAAAAAAAACAAAGCCATGTACACTTTCTTTTTTAGCCTACCCCAACAAGAATAACAAAGCCAATAATGCCATCTTCGTACCCCAAGAAATACAGTACAAACGCCTTTCTATTTTGCGCTCTACCCCAAGAAAAGAAAAAATTAGTGAAGCTTGCGTTGTAGCTTTGTATCACTTCTTAGGTGTGTTTCGCGTTGTAATATTGTACTGTTATTGAGGTACTTTTAGGTGATTTTTGCGTTGTAGCTTTGAACTTTTACCTTGGCTTCGTGGAAGGCCACGGCGGAGGGGTTGTTGCACAGGAGTGCCCCGTCCGAGTAGAGCGCTCCGTTGATCATCAGCGGCGGGAAGAAGGTCGGGGCGGCCGTCGTGGCGCGAATGGCCTGCCGCACCATGTGCCTGAAGCTCCCGTGGTATCTTGAAGAGTTTTGGTGATAAGTGTTCGCGGTGGAGGCGGGGGCGCGATGTGCGGCAAAAAAAAACAAAAAACAAGAGGTTGAGAACGTGGTCGACAGATCGGAAAAATCCTACCATACCCAAATAAGGAAGGACGATGCGTCTTAGTCGCTGTTCGCGTGACAAAGAAAAAAAACAATTGCGAACAGCCAGCGGGTGTATTGGAGAAAAATAATACTCCAATTTTGTTTCTATTTTCACAACGAGGAACAAGACAACGAAAAATACGTCGACACAAACAACGTACCACAACAAGCCGTGGCCTACCATAGAGGGTGAGAGACATGCGGCAGGCCACATCATCGCCATGTAGGGCGTCCATCAACACGTATCATCCGCGTATCCCCCGGAGGCCCCGTACGCAGCATACTCTGCCGAGCACCCCGAACAGATAGGTACAGACGTCTCCCCTGTTGTGGTAACCAGGAGGACAGCCGAAACTTCCTAAACATGCCACTACTCACTACTGCCCACCAATTCATCCTGCCCCTAAACACACGCACACAGAAGAGGCACATGTCTCATCCGCCTTAGCAACCAGGAGGATAGTCGAATATTAATCTTCCTACACGCCACTCACCAGACACCGTCAGTCACGCCATCCCACCCGCAAACAAAACACACGCACAGCTCTGCACCTGTCCTGGCAACCAGGGGGATAAACGTGTATGACACAAGACAACACACGCCCTGGAACGATTTTCAAAGCTCGATTACTCCACGACGAGACGGTTCCAACGCCGCCGTTGTCGGCGCTGCGACTCTTCCTGCTGTTGAGAATTCGAGCTTTGAAAATCGGTCAAGGGGGTGTGTTATCTTGTGTCATATTCGGTAGTAGAAACTCCCTAAACCATTCGCATCTTCTCCGGATCACTCAATCCCACCCGCAAACACACGCTCAACCAGAGGGACAGACAGTCGGTTCCCTCCATGCCCACAAACCACTACGTCCCACCCCCGGATAAAGGCAGATGGCTTACCGTCCCTGGTGTCCGGGGGGATAGTTGTAGTTCCTCCACAGCATCACTTTCGCGGGGTTGGAGCTGATGGTGGTCGACGGGCAGATGATCAAGGGCCGGAGGGGGTCTTGAGCGGAGTCTACCATCAGCATGTCTCCCAGGATAGAGTTGAGGATCTTCATCCACCCGACCTCGTCGTAAAACGCCTGAAAAAAAAAGTGTTTTGCGGGAAACCCATGGGGGCACGGGGGTACGGACGCGGGGAGGGGAGGGGGTGTACTCATGTAAACGCGTTCACCTTGTATCCCTACACCAAGCCGGGACGGAGCTCGCCGGGTTTTCACCGAACGAGGCGCGCGACCGGGGGGGGGGGGGGGGAAGGGCTTTTAAAATTTGGCCAGGATCAAACCTTCTCCAAAAAACACGGAAAGGGCCCTGCTTGGCGGGTCCCCCCTCCTTTTCCGGCGGACATTTTTTTTTTTTTTTTCTGCAAAAGGTTTAACCCCGTCCTGAACGTCCTTGGAATCCTTAACGTACCCAATCCCCCCATCCAACTTCAACAACGACAACCACAACAAAAAAATGAAACCCCCTCCTCACCCTATATCACAATCCCCCTGGTTGGCAACACAACCCCCCCAACCACACACACATAACGAAAACATCCGCCTCTCGACAAACCCAAACCCACCTGCTTTGCCATGGTACCTCTGGTACCGCGCTCGCTCAGGCTTTGACCCGGATAGCACAACACCACCATCGACACGCACGAAGAAAGCAGCACAATTCCCGTCAATTCCTGCAAACCACCCGCCTGCTTCGCTCCTACTCCGATCCGGTTGGCAGCACAACACCGCCACCGCCATACACACAAAAAGAAAATAAAGCTCAGTAATTTTCCCAACAACACCACAAAACCCGCCTGCTTCGCTCCTACTCCAGCTTGCAGCACAACATAACCACCCACACACGCAAAAGCACCAGGCAATAAATCCTACAAACCCCACCCAACACAAACCAATATACCCCACTGGGTAGAGAGATTGGAACGGTTTTGAATTTGAAGACAACAACAACAACAACAACAGCAACAGCAACAACAACGACAACAACCACCCCACCTGCTTGAGGGCGAGCTTCATCCCCCCGCCAGGGTGCTTGATGAAGATCTTGTTGATGAGGCTGTCGTACATCCTCTCGCACTCCGCCACTGGGAAAGCCTTGACGCCGGCGAGCCCCGCGATGATCCCGCCAGTGCTGGTGCCCACGATCATGTCGAACACCTCGTGGGGCTGCCGCCCACCCAGTGCCTGTGATTCGTGGTGCAATTTGATTGGACAGAAAATGTTGCGGTTGGGCATGTCCGGTGATGACGGGGGGGGGGGGGGGGAGGTACTCATTGTCGTGCATGCCGTAGTCGTTAGACCATTGACCTCGCATGATGACGGGGGGGCGGGTTTAAAGAAAGGAACCATCTAATCTCGAGCAGTGACGTGGAGGAGACAGCGACAGGTGAGCAACAACGAAATCCTTCCAAAACGTCAAGGAGAACGCAGATCTGTGAGTTCCCGGTGTCTAGCGTGCTTCTCAAGAGACACAGGGAATCTTTTTAAGTACTGCAGTGTCTTCTACCGCCTTGAAAAACGAGCAGCATGATTCCTGAAGCTATCTGTTTGACCGTCTCCGAACACGCTTTATTTTTTCAACCGACTGCTGTTCGTTTGTATGGAAAAACAACAGCAACAACCAGGAGGAGCCTCGATGCACGTTGGATGGAACCTGAACTGGCTGCCCACACCATCTCTCGCAAAAAAACTCAACATGAAAAAAACAAGAGCTGCACACACAATTCGTCAACGTGCTCTGCACGGCCAAAAAGCGCGCGTGCCGTAGTCGTTAGACCATTGACCTCGTATCCCTACAAAGCCGGGACGGAGCACGCCGGGTTCTCACCGGACCAGGCCCTCACATCACCAAGCGCGAAGCGCCGTGAGTTATTCGGCGAGTCGCATGAAGAGTGCGGCGCGCGCGCGCGCGGGGGGGGTACTCATACTCATAGTCGTACGTGTCGTTAGACCATTGACCTCGCATCCCTACAAAGCCGGGACGGAGCACGCCGGGTTATCACCGGACCAGGCTCTAATAGCACATCACCAAGCGCGAAGCACCGTGAGGTATTCGGAGAGTCGCATGAAGGGTGCGCTGCATCCTGCTAAGGGAGTTCGGCATCTTGTGCTTACGTCCTTGCGCGGATTTACAGCTGTATACGGGGGGGGGGGGGGGGGTTCATGTTTTGCATGCCCTAGCTGATAAGAGGACGGAGGACACTGTTCCGACAGGATCGGGCCAATAGTTCGTTCCTAATTTGCCAAAGGGTGGCCAAACCAAATCAACTTCGGGGGGGGGGGTTACTCAATGGTCGTGCATGCCGTAGTCGTTAGACAATTGGGAGGGTCAATCCGGAGGGATGAAACGCAGGGACCACACATAACCAGCGAGCGCGCCTCGGCTGGCCCCCGGTTTCGAAGCCCCGGGGATACCCTAAACATACAGATGTCGCCCCACCGAGACGATGATCAATCGATCCAGTGCAGTAGCCTTCGTGAGGATAAAATAAACTTGGTTTCTCAGTAGGGGACAAGAAGGAGGTACTGGACAGAGAGATCGGAACGGTTCTTACCACCACCACCACCAACACCACCACCACCACCAACAACAACAACAACAACAAAAACAACAACGGGGGTGGGGTTGAGGGTTAGCGCTAGGTACAGACAGGGATACGAAACCCCCTATCTAAATTCATAGATAAAACGGCAGGCGTTCTGATCCCAATCGATCGCCGCACCTTCTCGAGGTGCTTGAGCAGAGCCAGCGTGAGCACTCCGCGGGTGCCCCCGCCGTCGAAGCAGAGGATCCGAACCCCCTTCTGGCCCCTCGTTTTGGGCCTCCATTGGTGTGCCCCCAGGGCAGCGAGACACTTGTTGGCGAGGAGCTGGGAGTGGGTGAGCGGCGGCCCCGCCCTCTTGAGAACTCCCTGGTGAGGGGGGTTGTTGAACGTAGTGGAGGGCAGCAGCGGCGGCAGCAGGTAGGGAAAAAGAGAAGTCGAGGACGACAGCAGCGATGACCATGAGAGGGGATTGGCAGTTTTTCATCTTGATAGGAGACGGATACACTCTGTTTTGTGGCCTGTTTCGGCCTGCCACCACAATGACGATACTGGGCACACGAATATGCCTTGCGACGGGGTGAAGAAAAAAGATAGCGACAACGAGACCAACCGACGATGACAACGAATCAGTAGCCGAATCATCAACATTCCTCACCCTCGAGTCGTACTGAAGTTTTTGCCCGCCACCTTCCGCGACGCGCTTGATGGCGCTCACAAGGTTCTCGTCCACCTTTTTGACGGAACACGCACACATGAATTCAGTTGTGACCACGGGGATCGACCGCGTCAAGTGTTCGACTAGTACGGACAGAAGAAGGTACTGGGCAGAGAGAACGGAACGGTGTTTTGATGTGAAGACAACAACAACAACAACAACAATATAACAACAACAGCAGCATGTGCTTCGCATGTCCAAAGGAGTAAGTAGACTACATGGAGCAAAAACGAGACAGACGAAAGTAACGCAGGGAAAACGGCGACAATAGAACGCAGAGAAGCACCACCACCACCAAATGACGACGACAGGACGGCGGTTTCTTAACAAACAAGTGGACGGTTCGCCTCCTCTACTGCTGGCGGTGTTAGAATCTTCTCGAGGCAAAACACGCGCCACCCGGCGATTGGGCTTATGCCTTCATTTCGGTAGGACCCATGAACAACGTTAACGATAGTCACCCGTTCAAAGAAAAAACGTTTCCGTGTACCCCACAAAGACCACGCTCCTCCCCCCCCCTTCTGCCACATACCCCCCCGATCTGGAGGACAACAACTAAGGCAAACCCCCCTCGCGAGCTCACCTTCAAGGCATCCAACGCCGCGTCCCCGGACATTATCAGGCGGAACGTGAGCTCCAGTGCTTCCTCAACGAGCCTTTCCCTCGAGACACGGCGCCCTCGCCCCCACCACCAGACCCACCCAGAGCTGCCGCCCGCTCCACCACTACCACCGGGAAACATTGCCGCGGCTTGTGTGGCGGCCTGTTGCTCGAGTCCTTCTTCCTCGAGGGCCACCTGACAAGGGGGGGGTGGGGTTGCACGTTGTCATGCACGGATTGTTGGGGGTATTGACCGCCGCAGGCTCGTCCAAAACGGGTTCGTTTTTTTCGCGCGAGCCTCTGATTCTGTTCATGGGACCAGCACCTAAAAGCCAACGATTGTTCCGTACAAACAACCATTAATCTGTTGGTGGAGACGGAGCGCACCACTCTTGCTCACGACTTTAACTTTCATACACGATGATTCCAACGGAGAGGTTGGGAACAACTTGGGACACGGTTTCTGCTACCGTAGCCAGTGAGGAAAGAGGCTAATCCTATTCGATGATGTTTCGTCGCGCCACTACCAAAAGATGGCTACACACCAGTACGCACGTTTGCGACGCAAGTGGCCAGGTGACCAAGGAAAATAAGTTCAATAGCCTTGAAGTCTTAGAAGCCTTCAAACATTCTAGCCTTGAAGAGTGCAGAGGAGGTTTTGTAGTGGATCGAGGCTAGAAGAGAAGTTGTGAATTTGACAACAAACAATCACCACCACCACCACCACCACCACCACCACCAACAACAACAACAACAACAACTGCACCTCGTCCTTCCACCAGTCGCGGCCTTCCCTCGCCGCTTGAAAATCCCCCTCCCCCTCTCCTTCTCGCGTGCCGGCCCCCCGACCAACCACCGCCGCGCCTTCCAGGGGAGACCGTTGTTGCTGATGAAAGCCCAAGCTCTCCGCAGCCGCGGAGGACGAAAACGGCCGCACCCGCGGCAGGGGCAGGCTGCCCACCGCCAGGCGGAAGGCGCGGCCAAGAGGCCCGTCGCCGCTCCCAGGAGCAACGGCAGCCTCGACGCCTCCTGGAACACCGAACCCGGTACCGCTGCCGGCACCGCCGCCGCCGCCGCCGGGGACCATGTGGTACCCGAGGATAGCGGTGATGCGCTCCACGAGGTCGTCTTCGCCGACCGCGGGACCCGGGGATGATGGAGACCCATCCCCGGCCCCGGCAACACGCCTCCTTCTTCGCCGCTGCTGCTGCCGCCGCCGGCGCTCTTGCAACCTGCCACGCACACTGCTGCTGCTGCCGCTGCCCCCACCAACACTCTTTTTGGCGCTCGCGCTGCTGCCAGCGGCGGTCGCCTTCTTCTTTGTCTTGGCGGTCTTGTCGTCGTCGGGGTGGTCGAGGCCGTCGAGCCCGAGGAAGTGAGGGGCGAGGGAAGGGTCGCTGTCTATCACCGTGGAGATGGCCTGCAGGACCCGCCGCTGCAGGCTGGGGCGCACGTCCCCCCTTAGCCCGCGCAACAGGTGGCTGAACCCCAGCTGTTTTTGTGTTTTCAACGCGTTGCCGCGGTGACGGCATCGTCATAAAACAAACACCATCATTTGCCGTCAACGCCGATGGTCGCCGTCGACATCGATGGTCGTCGCGGTGACCGTGGGAGGGTGGCAGGTAGAAGAAACAGAGGAGAGCAGACACGGGCCGGAAGCAGGCCGACGTTAAAAAGCGGGCGCAGCGGGCGCAGAACATGTAACCGATTTATCAGACGCAGCAGACGTGGTAGGTGTAACCGAGGGAACAAACGCGGCGGCGAGCAGGATGGTACACTACCGCACACGTCCGAGGACCGCAAGCCACCCGTGGCGCTTGTGCTTGACGCCCAAAGGCAAAACAAAAAAAATGGCTCTATACCCCGGCGACACGTTCTTCGCGAAGAAAGCCTTCGCAAGAAATACAACAACAAAAACTGTGGTGAATAAACAGGACGGCTTTGGTTTTGATTCCTGTGCAACGCTCACACGTCCCACAGACCATGGGCCACACGAATACATACGAGCAAGTCATCAAATGCAGCGGATTACAGCAGTAGGACCTACAGCAAAGACGCCACTAGCCTAAAGGCACACACTTGCGCACAAGCGAAAAGTCACGGCGAGAAAAAAAAAAAAACACACACACACACACACACACAGATGATGCAAATTCCAGACAAATTCTGCAGCTTGTACGCAAAACCGGCGCTCACTACCCGACCTCCATGGACGTGGAGATGCAACGATGCGACCGCGATGACATAGGTCACGTCCTCTTGCGCAACCCCCGGGAGGCAAGCCACCTAGCTCCCGAACCTTGTCTGTATATACGTACCTCCTCGAGCATGATGCGGCCGGCGCTCTTGCCGGCACGGGATGACAGTCCCGTGAGGCAAGCCATCTCCACAAGCTTCATCTCTCCCGACGTGCCGCTGAGCCCGTCCGGGCGCGTCGGCTTCCAGCTCGAAGTCATTCTGGAGAGAGACAAAATGGAGAGACAAAATGGAGACGAGTAGCGAGGGTGGTGCAATTTTGGTGATGTGGCATGCTAGAGGAAGGCAAAGAGGATGAGCAGCGGGGGGCGATTAGTGATCTAGACAAGGCAAAGAGGATCAGGAGTGGGATGGTGGGATTTGTGGTCTGGCATGCTAGCGAAGAAGGCAACGAAGATGAGCAGCGAGTGGCGATAAAATAGTGATCCGGCATGAAGATCTCGCCACATATTAGTAGACTAAAACGGAACCATGGTTCACGATCGAGAGGAGGGGATGGGGGGGGGTCCGTGAATTCATCGGCCGGTGGCAATGTATGGCCCCCAAGAGCTTGCTATCGTTCCGGCAACGAGAGGTGGGCAGAGTGGGTCTTCTCATGGCGATGCCAGAATGACAACCCTTGCGGAGAAAGGACCATGCGGTGCCGGCATTGGTCAACCTCGGGGTCCCGCGACAGATTTGCGCGGTTCAAGAGAAACCAGGATGGAGCGCGTGTAGGAACGTCCTGGTAGGAAAATCCAAATAGGGCGTTGTGCTTGACCCACGGCAATCTATGATGCTAAGTGCGGTACATACCTTCTCAAAAACAATGCAGCAGTACTCGCGCATCATCATCATCATCATCACTATTGTGTCGAAACGGGTGCTGTAAGAGGCGAAAACTAACCAGCGCTCGCGCAGCATTGTCATCCTCATACCATCACCACCATCATTATCATCATCACCATCACCATCCCCATCCCCATCATCATCATCGCGTCGAAACACGTGTAGCAATAAACACACGGCATAGTCGCGTCTTTTCCAGGAAAAGACCATCACATTGTCGTCACCTGCCGCGGTGCACCTCTACCGGCTCCCCGTCTACCCACTCCTCCAGCACGTTGTCGGAGTCTGCGGCTGCCTTAGCTGCTGCCGCGGCGGCCGGACGAGTCTCAGCGTTTGCTGGTGTGCCCGAGCTTGTGGTTGGACCATAGACAAAAAAGTATGTATGCAGCGAGAGGGAGGGGGAGTACGTCATAGCACGCCAGGGAGGGTGAGGGTGGGGGGGGATAGGTTTGGGAATCTCCCGGTCAGTTGACGAAGACGACGACGATAACAATAACTACTACTACTACTACTACAACAACAACAACAACAACAACAACAACAGCGAACGGGCAGCAACAACAACAACACCACCACCACCACCACCACCACCACCACCAACACCAACACCAACACCAACACCAACAACAACAACAACAACACAAACCAATGTAAAAAAACATCCTCGAACCTTCGGTTGATGGTAATCTCCATATCGGGCGGCCTGGGGATGCTCGTCACCGACAGAGGAAGGTCGCCAAAGTCGCGAAACTCGTCATGCTCCTCCCCGTCGTCGTCATCAATGTCGGCAGCGCTGCCCTCTGATGAACCACCCTCCCACTTATCCTGACCGACAGCTCCAACACTGCCGCTAGGCACCGAAGAAGAAGGAGGAGCCGCTGGAGAACGATCCCCGGATTGGTCCGAGGCTTTCTGTTTCTCCAAAACGAACGGAAAGTACAGCAGTACCAGATACCGTCAGTTTGCGATGCGATCGCCAAACACACGAGGAGAGCAGGCGGAGGGGAGAGTGAGGGGCCAATGAGCACGTACATGCCTATTGCTACAAACGTGCGACAAGACAAGAAAAGGAGCAGCGACAAGATACCGCCAATCCTGAAGGGTGAAAACGTCCCGATTCCCCCGCCCACGGCTCGCCAGCGTTTTCCTGTGGCTACTGAAACAACGGCAAACAGGAAGAAACCTCTCCGTAGTCATTCTGCAGCGGCGGATCTCTACGCACGAATCATTTGATCAGCTCTTTCGTTTACACGCACGCGGAGCTAGCTACCACTGCTGCTGACACGTCGAAAACAGGACGGTCGAACTCTTAAGACCACGAAGTCCCAGAGCCTCCGTTAAGCTCACCGGTTCCTCAACAGGGCTCTTGCTGGAAAGAATCTTCCAGGCGTTAGGAGGCGGTGCGAACTGCGGGGGGGGGGGGGGGGGGGGGGGGGGGGGGAAAAAAAAAGGGGGGGAAAAGGGAAAAAGGGGGGGGGGGGGGGGGGGGGGGAGGGGGGGTTGACAATGAGCCGCCGCAGCGAGCGAACGA